AAGCCCCGGAAACTTTTCGGGCCCGTAAAGCCATAGCAAAATCTCGAACCTTACGATTACAGAGCTGTTTTATTCACATATTGTTAATATGAAGAGAAGTTCCCTTTATACAAGAAGTTTCAGGCGTATACACTTCTCCGTTTTCAGATACAGATGGACCAAAAATGGCTTTACGGACCCGTAAAGTTTCCGGGGCTTTCGAGAAACGGGCCCCTGGCCCGGTGGTCATGTAATGGCGAAGTAAAGTTGATTTTTGTTGCGTTTTACAAACGTGCCGAGATCCCGGCAAACTAACACCACGGCCCGGCTAACCAAGCCAGCCCGGCTCCTGTAATCAGGCCCTAAGAAAACAATCTACTCTGCTATCGAGATAATTTGTGAGTTTCTCAAATTATAACCAAAACCTGTTTTAATAGTTTCTTATTATTTCTGCTTGTACGGCGAGTTTGCAAAAGTTTTTGAAAGGAAAGTCTGACACGTACAAGTAGCTCATTTGCATAGCGCAGAGCGTGCACTTTCAAGTCCGAGTCAGTGATTTCAATTGTCAACAAATCTTGACAAAGATTTCTTTCGTTATCTTTTGTGCTGAGATGCTGCAACAATTTTCACCAACGCCAAAAGGCTGTTAACGTTATGTGTGTTTTACACAAATTTTACACTGCGAAAATAAAACAGACAAGGAGTGTTGATAACTCAACCAACAAAATCGAAATCGTTATTCGATTTGATCAAAGAAAGCGTCATCATAAGTTTGCTGATTATTTCTGCTGTATTCACATATTTTCAGCTAAGCTTTTAATATGTTTGCAAACATTAATCAACCTTAAACATATTTAAAAACTAGAGATCTTGTATGAGTTCGATGAACGTTTTCACACGAAAGTGCGGAAGTCTGATTTCTCGTGTTTTACTGACTGTACAAACACGCATCGGCGGGCGCTCTTATTCATTGACAACAGACAGCTTATTGGCTTTGTACACGAACAAAACTGAGCAGTACGTATCTACAGACGTAAACTTATTGGGCCTTGATAAAACATCAAGCGTTACAATTCAGGTAAAAACTCAAACTTGCAATTATTTCAGTTTACTTTTCGGTCGTGATAGACTCTGGCGAATTCCTCGCAAGCGTGTGGTGAAAGGAGCTAGGAAATTTTGAAGTCCTGAAACGCTGCTATATCCAAATACTGCATCAAACTAGTTTTCTGCTGTGTCATGGAAAAGCTGTTAATCTTCAACATCAGTGTGAAATTTAGAGTGAGTAATGTACAGCCCTTGTAAAAGAAGCAGCGGAACACAACTTGGTCAGTGATATAAGCTTAAGCTTATTCGACACTGTCTTACTTCACTCAAACTGGAGCAGCTTACGAAGAAAATACTTAAGCAAAATTCCAACAGACATAAA